ACCCAGTTTCCCGGGTCAATGCAAAAACATGACAAAAACAATGACTGGAAAATGACAAAAACTATTCCAAGGTAATTCCAGAATGACTCCAAAATGACAAAAAATGACTCCAAAATGCCAAAAAATGACTCCAAAATGACACACAAAATGACTCCAAAATGACAACAAGACTCCAAAATGACAAAAAAATGACAATGCCTCGAGGATTGTGCCAATTCCGGCCCGCCCGCCTCATATTTTGTCATTTTGGAATCATGTCGGAGTAACTTTTTTTTGTCATTTTTCAGTCATTTTTTTGTCACCCCCAAACCCTTTGTCATTTGTGTTGTCATTTTGGGTGTCCTGCCCCAACCGCCCACCCCCCGGCTCCTCCCTTCTCTCTCGCTCACCCTGTCCCCCTCGCCTGCCTAAAATGATAACGACAACCAAATCCAAAATGACAAAAAATGACAATACAAATAACAAAAAAACGACAAGGGCAAATGACACAAAAATGAGAATTAAATGACTAAAATAATTCTGGAACCCGGCCCCACGGCAGGGGGAGTCGATGGCAGCTGGACAAAGGCCTGGTCCGTTGGATCATCGCCCCAATCGGAGATGTGATGCTGCCAAATAGAAATCAAGGATGCCTGAACCGTCTTCACCTCCTCAACCGGAAAACACAGTGAGGAAGGAACGAAAGTGCACAATCGAAAGCAAGTAGGAAGACGGCGATACCTTGTGATGATGCGCTGGGCAGGAGCACTTCCAGCTGATATGCTCTATGGTGGGAGTGCCGCGACCACAGGCACAGCGAGCTTCACCTGCCTGTCGGCGGTGACGATGGTCTCGTTCTGGCGTCATCAAACCAGCAGCGGGGAGCAGACGAAGCACCTTCAGCTTGGCCCTGGGATCGTGCGCAGGGAGTGGAGGGGTCGCCAAACAAAGGACCAAGGAGCAGTTGCAGGGAATCCGCTTCAGCAGTGAGCTCAATGAGAAGAGCAAGCACGCGGGTCCTGTCAATATTTTGCTGCGGCCCCTGAAAGTGCTGCGATCTTTCACGCGCCAAAGTCTTCCAGGTATGAGCCCGCCACACTTCGCGAGCTTCATGAGGCCATGAAGATGCATGCAGCGAGCCAAACAAAAAAGCCTTCAGAAAGGGCCTGCAACAAGGATGAGCTCGAAGCTGGAGGACTCGGGCGAGTGGCCCATCCGGGACATCCGCAGGTCGAGTTTGAGCGAACTTCTGCGAGAGCTCACGACACTTGGCAACAGTGTCGTAAACTCGTTGTACCAGCTGAAAAGCAGAGCATTGTAACGCACAAGCGGGCTCCAGTGAAGGGGGGGCGAGAATCGCAAATACAGCATGAGGCGACAAGGAGTAGTCTTTCATGCCAAAGAGCGCGCGAACAACGACTGCTCGAAGATGCCGCACGCGATCACGTGCAACCGGCAGGACATGAGTACCCTGACCAAAGGTAAGCTTGGGCATTGTACTCCGCAAAATCCGGACCTTGGTGAACCAGCCGACCGGGAAGTATTGCACCGTAGTAGCGGTTTGCTCGCAACGATCACATCGGTCCTGTTCCAACGGAGTCCAGGCTTCGCGGCCACTAAGTTTGACACTGCCTCCAACAAGACGCAAGTTTGTGCAGTAATTTTTGATGGCTTGAACTGTGCTCTGAACTTCCCTGAAGCCGAAGACGAAGCTCTTGTCGCGGTGCCAGACCATGCCAGAAATCTGGACGAAGCGACCGGTGTGCTCCTGCACCTGCCGCGTTCGCTGCTTGACAGTCCGACTGCTTGTATGTTGTGCACACACGGAGATGTCATCAGCATAGGAGCGTGAGGTGGCCTCAGGCACTTGCGATTGCACGTACTCCAACCAGTTTGTGATCAGGGAAACTAGAACCATCATACTCAATGGACAGCCTTGTATAATACCATTGTGAGGCCTGAAGGATTTGGAATAGGCACCTTCCATACGGAAATGCTTGGTGTGAGCGCTGTAAAAGCCTGCCATAGCACGCAGAACGTGGTTGTCAGCGCCTCGCTGACGCATGATTTGCAACGCGAGAGTGACAGGAATGGTATCAAAGCATTTGCGAAGATCGTAGGAAAGGCCCGCAGCGACCTGACCATTGGCGGAAGCTTCAAGAACCTGAGCACATGTTTCATAAGCCAACACATCGGCTGCACGTCCACCCGGGAGACCATATGTTCCTGTATGTTGCCAATGAGGAAGCCAGAGTGCAGCAAGTTGTTTGTGGCGACATGCAGCCCAAACACGATAAATGGCGGACAAAGACAGGCCTGTAGTCTCCGGGTTCTGGATGTGTCTGAGACGGATCCTTGGCCACAAAGGCAACAGCCCCAGCAGTGATGGCTCGAGGCCAACTGCCAGAAGCTTCAACTTTCTGAAAGAGCTGCGTCAGGCAAACAAGAAGGGCTCCACGACGCTAAATGCTTCAACTCGATGGGCATAAAACCGTCCCATGGGCATAAAACCGTCCCTTCCTGCCGAGGTAGGCTTGGAGTCCAACATGGCGTCACTAACATCACGTGCACTCAAGCGGGGCAGATCTATACGAGCTTGCGTTTCATGGTGGCGCCATGCTGCTGCATGAAGTTCGCCAGTGAAGGTTCGCCATGCTGGTGCCGTGAATAAATGCCCGTCCAAACTTCCATGATGGCCTCCAGTCGAGCAGAGACGTTTGCGGTGGAGCCATGCGAGGTCACAGTAACCCGTATTGGCGCCTGCCTAGCCTTGTAACGAATATGACCATAAACAGCCGCATCATTTGCCCGCAACGACTTCTTCCAGCGCGCAATGCGCTCGCTGCGATTCTGACGTTGTAAGCGCTCCAGATAGTTGGTCAACCAAGTGCAGGCCACCGTAACGGCCTCCTCCGAGGCAGGGCGCTGGAGCAAGGTGCGCAATGATGTTTGGAGATCCTTAGCGAGATGTGCAAGGATTTTGTGCACACCAGCCCAGGTGCAATCCGACGATGCCCAGGAACGGCAAGGGCAACTTCTTTGCAGCGGCAAACCGCCTTCCATACGCGCCAGAGACCCGGTGCTCCGAGACGCGCACAAAGGCGATGCGGTGTAGTTGACACCTCGGTTATGCTGCCGGAAAACTAAGGCTTACTCAGGCTAAGGGTTACCGTCAGCGCCGTGCAAGCTGTTATCATCGAGCACAAGTCTGTTTCACAAACTGATGGGCAATGCGGTGTAGTAGTACCTTAGGGTGCTGTCGTAACCGAACAAAGGGTTGCCGCCAGCAAACGAGATACCATCAATCGTGATTGAATTTGCAGTTTTTCTTCATCCATGTGCGCAGGTAGTTTTTGGAAACCACCTGCTTGCAGTAAAAACAAGATGGTCGAAAAATGTCCTCGATGTAGTGTCTGCCTCTCGCAACAGCGTGCTTGTTATGCTCGTCTACATCATGCTGAAGTTTGGTATTTCGGGTTGCCGAAAGCATATCCGCCCTGCTGGCGGAACCACGTCTGTCAACCTTGCTCGAAATCGCATGACATTGCTTTGCAGCGAACTGTAAAATCTGGAGAGCGGGCTGTCATGGGGCCTGGNNTTTTGCATTGTATGTATTTTGGTTTTCAACACCAAGCTACGCACGTATGCATGTGTATGTATGTATGTATGTATGTATGTATATATATATACATATTATATATGCTAATATTTAAATATATTTAAATATATACATACATATATATAGATAGATAGATAGATAGATAGATAGATAGATTAGATTAGATTAGATTAGATTAGATTAGATTAGATTAGATTAGATTAGATTAGATTAGATTAGATAGATAGATAGATAGTGGGGGCCAGGAGTGTACATATTAATGTGATAAGTACATACGCATGAACAGACACGCATATGCATACATTCCCAAGTTTAGACATACATGCACACATGCATGCTGTGCACAGACGGCTTATGTGTTCGCATGATCATGGTACGCATACTTACTAATTGTGGTACAGTGCACACAGCACACACCCGGCCACTTCCGAACGAAATGACACAACACAAAATAGTTCATACATCGTTCTCTTTATTCTACAACTTGGACTCCCCGAAATCTCTGGCGAAGTTCTGCCTGCCGTTTTCTGATTTGCTTTATGTTTTAAGTTGGGGCGGTGTCTCTGTGCTTCCACTTTAGCAGTATTACCTACCTATGCAGGGCTCCACAACACTACACGACCATACAAACAATCGCAGGACTGTAATTCCTGCAATCTGGGAACATGTATATACATATGATTTTTGTAGCACCGTAGCACATATTGTGTCAACGGTGTAGACGGTCTGTATGTACACAATCAGTGAGTAGCGTGTTTGCATTTCACTTTAGTTTCTGTTGTAATGCAATATTATCTAGTT